TAAGATCCAGGAAAATCTTGAGCCACTTCCTAGCCAAAACCTTAAGCTCTACCAAATTTTCTAACTAAATTGGTCATAAGTGGCGCTGGTCCTACTATGTTGGACGTATCTTTAAGATGTCTTTACCCTGTACTATATCCCTGGCAGTTTTTGAATAGGAGCACGATTTGTACTATTGAAAGCCTGGCAAGGTTCTTTTACTTCTTCTTGTTCTTGTCCTTTATGGTATACTTCTCATAGTTCTTCTGCGGGTCATAGGGTTCCCACCTACTTGCAGGGAAGATATGCTTGTTGCGTTCGTACCAGCTTCGCATCACCACCTTGCCTGTTATATGATCAAGACTAAGTAGTATAAAACAAACAATAAAAGCTATGTAAGATAACTGAAGATCATGAATTTTAAAAATGAAATGTGCTTCTTCAAATTTATCATGAGTCAACAATATCTCTATATGGCAATGATTTAATCCTCACCTGCATGGGATTCTTCCTTCTCCACTGAAGCATCGCTCACTAGTCTGATATCATCACGGACATCAAAATGGAACAAAGGTCCACTCTTACCTCTGGCCTGCAAGACAAGAAAAACAAATATTATATATCAATCAAATGTGCTTAATCCCTAAAGCAACACACCTCTACTTTCAAACATTCTGCAGTGAACAATGCAAACTTACCTTATTCACAATGAAATCATAAAATGTGTAGTGATGAGGTATAATCAGGTCTTCTTTTATGTACATAAGGTGGTCAGCTGAGACAGTGCGCAGCTCATTGAACTCCTTCCGCAAGATTTCCAGACCTCTTTGTAAAAACTGATACACACTGTTTCCTGGAAATGGAAGAAATATTGAGGCCAATATTGATTATATATACTGTCATCATTCAGCTAATTCCAAGGGTGTTCAGTTATACAAATATTTTTTTTATGCAAATAAAAGAACATGAATAGCAAAGAAAGTGAAATGGTTGGGTTGGGGCAATTGAGAAAAGGATGAAGAGAGAAAGGAGGTGTGGAAGAAGTCTGATGTCTCTTTGATATGAAAACCTCTCTCTCCCTCTTCTACTCTTTCTGAACTCACCTTTTTTCATACGAACTGATCGTCTATGACCTGACCCATCCCAGTAGCTGAAAGTGATCTCTATTTCTTCATTCTTCATGGCCTCTTGTTTACCTACCCATTCCTGTCAAAAGAGAAAAAGATATTGCACAATACACTTTGCATCTTTTTCTTGCAAATTCTAGAGAATGTCCTTTGAATGATTTTTTTTTCATGACTTTCAAATAATAAAAAAGGGCTGTTAAATGGCAGCCAAAGGAAACAAAAGAAAAGATTCATATTCCATACAAAAATGCCCAATGTGTCAAAAAGAAAGGCATAAAGGGAAAAAAGTATATAAATATATAACGGGAAAAACGAGAGAGCTAAGCCAAAATAATCAAACCTGTCTTAGTTCTTCTCGTAATCTATTCTCTGCATCCTCTCTTTCTCTGTCTGGCAGGAAGCTTGTGTCCACATCTGGGTTCTTGGCCATGCGGAAGTCCTTGCTCTCGCTCGTTTTACACACCACGATTGTTTCCTTCTCTTCCTCCTCTTCTTCCTCTTCATCATCTGGACAAAAACTGAGCTTTGCAATCTGGAAATAAAAAGATTTCATTTGCAAAGAAAGTTATGCATGAATATTCCTAAATGAATGCATGATATGGAAAAAATGAAGTATAAAAGTTCTCATCCTGATTCCTATGACCTGTAAATCAACACTGGAAATCAAAATCTGATATGGGCAAAATCTAATTAATTTTTGAAGAAAGAGAAAAGTGATATAAAACCTAACATATTTACATAGTATTATATCCTTACAACTCACAGATTATATATTCATAGTTTTCTAACAAATAGTTTCAGAAGAAAAAAGGTGGACAATATTGAGTATGAATAAATGTATCTACTATGCTGTGTAAGCTTAGGACAGTGAGTAGAAGAGAGTCAAAAATAGAATATATACAGAAAAAAGGACACAAAGAATGTAAAAAAAAAATGGTGGAGAAAAGATAGACAAGTAAGAAATATTACAAGTACAAGAAGAGCTACAAACCTTATCTCTTTGCTCTTTTTTCTTTGCCTGTTTTGCTTCTATTTCCTTCTTCATCAATTTCTCTTGTTCCTTCTGCTTCCGTGCAAGCTCCTTCTCTCTCTCCTTCACAACATCTTCCTGCTTGGCTTTCATCTCATTCAGAGTTACTAAACCAATCGTTGAGCTCTGGTAATTAAGAAAACGGCATCTTGGTCAGATGCTGAAAAATAAGGTAATGGAAACAAGAAAAATAAATAAATAAATAATAGTAATAATGTGGAGAGGACTCCTCTGTAAAGTCAGTCCAGTTGTATTTTTCATAGTCATGGAATAGAGGAAATAATGAGTATATGTGATCAGAGGATCAGAAGATGGCTGGAGTCAGGTGGGAAGATGGCTCTCCGTTCAAGAAATGGCAGACAAG